AATAGTCTGAGAAGGGTTGGTTTTAGTTCTTCTTTGAATGTTCGGTAAAACTCCCCTGTGAAGCCATCTGGTCCAGGGCTTTTGTTTGCTGGAAGCATTTTGTTTACTGTTTCAATTTCATCAGTAGTTATCGGCCTATTAAGGTTTTTTGATGCTTCCTGGTTGAGTTTCGGAAGCTTGTAGTTTTCTAGGAATGCGTCCATTTTGTTGAAGTTGTCCAGTTTGTTGGAGTAGAGGTGTTCGTAGTATTTTTTTTACAATCCTTTGTATATCAGTGGGATCAGTTGTTACTTCACCTCTTTCATTTCTGATTTTGTTTATTTGGGTCCTTTCTCTTTGTTTCTTGGTGAGCCTGGCTAGAGGTTCATCAATCTTGCTTATCCTTTCAAAGAATCAGCTCTTGGTTTCATTGATCTTTTGTATTGTTTTTTTGGTCTCTATGTCATTTATTTCTGGTCTGATCTTTATTATCTCCTTCCTTCTGGATACTGTGGGCTTTTCTTGTTGCTCTCTTTCTAATTCTTTAAGTTGCAGGGTTATGTAATTTATTACCATTTTTTCTTGTTTAATGAGGTAGGCCTGTAGAGCTATGAACTTCCCTCTCAGGACTGCTTTCATTGTGTCCCATAGATTTTGGATTGTTGTGTTTTCATTGTTGTTTGTTGCCATGATGCTTTTTATTTCTTCTTTGATCTCTCTGGTAACCCAATCATTGTTTAATGGCATGCTATTTAGCCTCCAAGTGTTTGATTTTTTTCCATTGTTTTCATTATAGTTGATTTCTAGTTTTATGCCACTGTGATCTGAGAAGATGCTTGTTATGATTTCTATCTTCTTGAATTTGAAGAGACTTTGCCTATGTCCTAATATGTGTTCTATCTTTGAAAATGTCCCATGTGCACTGGAGAAGAATGTATATTCTGTTCCTTTTGGGTGAAATATTCTGAAGATGTCAGTTAAGTTCATCTGATCTAGTGAGTCATTTAGGATTGCTGTTTCCTTGCTGATTTTTTGTTTAGAGGATTTATCCAGGGATGTTAGTGGGGTATTAAAGTCCCCTACTATGACTGTATTGCTATCGATCTCTCCCTTGATATCTTCCAGAAGTTGTTTTATGTATTTGGGTGCTCCTGTATTGGGTGCATATATGTTTACCAGAGTTATATCTTCTTGTTGGATTGCTACCTTTAGTATTATGTAGTGGCCTTCCTTATCTCTTGTTATGGCCTTTACTTTAAGGTCTATTTTGTCAGATATAAGTATTGCATCCCCAGCTTTTTTCTCATTTCCATTTGCCTGAAAAATTTTTTCCCATCCCTTCACTATCAGTCTGTGTGAATCCTTTGTTCTGAGGTGGGTCTCTTGTAGACAGCAAATATATGGGTTGTGTTTTCTTATCCGTTCAGCTACCCTATGTTTTTTTGATTGGGGCATCTCATCCATTTACCTTTAATGTTATTATTGACAAGTACTTGTTTGTCGTCATTTTTATTCTTAATATTTGTGTTTCGTCTTGCCTTTCTGTTTCTTCTTTTTACAGCAGTCCCTTTAGCATTTCTTGCATTGCTGGCTTGGTGGTAATAAACTCTCTTAGTTCTTTTTTGTCTGTGAAGCTCCTGATTCCACCTTCAATTTTGAATGATAGCCTTGCTGGGTATAGTATTCTGGGATTCAGTCCCTTGGTTTGCATCACTTTATATATTTCATTCTATTCCCTTCTAGCCTGGTGTGTTTCTGTTTAGAAATCTGTCGATATTCTAATGGGAGATTCCTTGTATGTAACTTTCTGTCTCTCTCTGGCAGCTTTTAAGACTTGTACTTTGTCGCTGATGTTTGCCAATTTATTTATGATGTGTCTTGGTGTTGGTCTTTTTGGGTTCATCTTGTTTGGACTCTATGCGCTTCTTGGATTTGTGTAGTTTTTTTTCTTGCCAATATCGGGGAAGTTTTCTGTCATTATTTCTTCAAACAGGTTTTCTATTCCTTGCTTCTCTTCCTCTCCTTCTGGTACCCCTATTATGCGGTTGTTGTTTTGTTTTGTGTTGTCCCAAAGCTCCCTCTTGCTTTTTAAATTTTCTTTCCAGTTGCTGCTGTGTTTGTGTGTTTTTTCCTACCTTGTCTTCTAGCTCGCTGATGCGGTCCTCAGCCTCTTCTAGTCTACTGTTTAAGCCTCCCATTGTGTTCTTTATTGCAGCTGTGTCGTTCTTCATTTCCTCTTGATGTCCAGATGTCAGCAGCCGGGGAGGGGGATGTCCCAATTTTTGCTGTCTTGCATCCTTGGTTGAAATCGCACATGCCCAGCCAGGGCTCACAGAGGTACCCAGGAGCTGTCTGTCAGGGTAGTGGGGCTCAGGAGGCCTGCACACTGGAAAGGCACAACTGTGGTGTCCAGAGTTCTGTAGCTGTAGTGTGGGAAGACTCAGTTTTTACTGCTGTGTCTGTGGTTGGATGCACACGCTCCCAGTGGCAGCTCACAGGGGCACCCGTGGTGTGCTTGCCAGCGCAGCGCCCTGGCACACTCTGAAGAGCCCTGGTTGAAGCCAAGCGATCGAGGCATCTGTGGGCAGGTATCCAGGATGAGGGTATTCAGAATTTCTACTGTTGGGGCAGTGCACCCTTGTTTGGATAAGAGCACCCTGTAGAGCCGTGGTCTCAGGAGGCCTGCGTGCGGGAAAAGCATGACTGTAGTGTCCAGAGTTCTGCAGCTGTGGAGTGGGAAGACTCAGCTTTTGCTGCTGTGCCTGTGGATGGATACACACGCTCCCAGTGGCAGCTCACAGGGGTACCTGTGATGCATTTGCGGCGTGGAGCTCTGATGTACTTTGAGGGGCCCTGGTGCTGAAATTGTGCAACAGTGTCTGTGGGCAGTTATTCAGGAAGAGTCAATCCAGAATTTCTGCTGCAGGGCAGTGCACCCCCGTTTGCACAATATCGCACCCAGCGAGGCTCTCAGTGGCTCCTAAGATCTGCCTTTGGGGTGGTGGGCTCCTGATGCCTGCCTGCTGGAAATGCACGTCTGTGGCGGGGCGTTTGCAGCACGGAGCTCTGACGCACCCTGAGGGGCCCTGGGGCTGAAGTTGTGCGACAGTGTCTATAAGCAGTTATTCAGGAGAGTAAATTCAGAATTTCTACTGTGGGGCAGTACGCCACTGTCTGTACAATATCACACCCTCTGAGGGGCTCGCAGCAGCTCCCAGGGGCTGCCTGTGGGGTGGTGGGCTCCGGACACCCACCAGTTGGCAACGGGCGTCTCTGGCAGGTGCGTTTGCCGTGTGTCTGACGCACCTTGAGGGGCCCTGGCGCTGAAGTTGTGCGACAGTGTCTGTGGGCAGTTATTCAGGAAGAATGAAATCAGAATTTTTACTGTGGGGCAGTGCACCCTCATTTGCACAATATCGCACTCGGCGGGCGCTTGCAGTGGCTCCCAGGGGCTGCCTGTCGGGTGGTGGGCTCCAGAGGCTTGCACGCTGGATACGCGTGAATGTGGTGCCCAGAGGTCTGCCACTGGGGAGGGGGAAGCTGCACTTACTGCTGTGGGAGCGGTGCTCCTTTGAGGTGGAGGTCCTAGGGTCTGCGGGTCTGTGGGTGGGGCTGCAGGATTTTGGCTGGAGTGGCTGCTGGGTCGTGGGCAGTGTCCAAGGGCTGTGTGGGTGGTGGTGCTGATGAGTTCCTAGATGAGGCCGCTCTCCCCTTCAAGATGGCGTGGGTTCCCTGCCCGAGTCCTGCAGCCCCAGAAGTGTCCACGCGATGGTAGGTGCTCCCTGTCCAGGAGAGTCTGGTCGACCAGCCCCTGCTACTCCTGTAGGATTTAACTGTCCCTCACTCACTCACACACACCACACGCATCCACACACTCTCCCTTCACCCTCTCACTCACTCACATCCTCTCCCTCACCTCCGTCCTGCCAGCTGCCATCTTCTCACGTCCCACTCCATATAATCTTTTTTTTTTTTTTTAAATATATTTTATTGATTTTTTACAGAGAGGAAGGGAGAGAGATAGAGAGTTAGAAACATTGATGAGAGAGAAACATCGATCAGCTGTCTCCTGCACATCTCCCACTGGGGATGTGCCCGCAACCCAGGTACATGCCCTTGACCGGAATCGAACCTGGGACCTTTCAGTCCGCAGGCCGACGCTCTATCCACCGAGCCAAACCGGTTTCGGCGGACTCCATATAATCTTAAGGAAAAAATTACATGATGTTGAGTATTATATCTACTATGTATGGAGGATAGAAAAGTACTAGAAAGAAATAAAACAAAATACTAACAATGGTTGCCTCTGGGTGGTGGGATTGTGGCTCATTTTCTTCCTCCTTTTTATAGTCTTCCCAATCCTTATTTTGAACATGTATTACTTTTAGAATTAGAATTGGGAACAAGAAAAGAATTTTAATTTGTTCGTGATGTTAAAGTCATACTTCTTTTTAAATATATATATATATATATATATATATATATATATATATATATATATTTGTTGATATCAGAGAGGAAGGGAGAGGGAGAAAGAGAGAGAAACATCAATGATTTGAGAGAATCATTGATTGGCTGCCTCCTGCACACCCCACACTGGGAATCGAGCCTGCAACCCAGGCATGTGCCCTTGACTGGAATCAAACCTGGGACCCTTCAGTCCAAAGGCCGACACTCTATCCACTGAGCCAAACTGGCTAGGGCAAGTCATACTTATTAGCTAGTTTACATCTAAGTTAATGTGTTAATATACCCAGAACTATTCGTATATTATTTTTAGTTTTGCAATGAAGGCTTTGCTTTCATAGTAAAGACATTCCAATTATAGTATCAATGAAGACCTGAGCAAGAAGATCTTTATTAGTTCTCTGGATGACACATAGCAAGCTCAGTTTCATCTCCTTAGTCCTCACTTCCTTCTTGAAGACTCTATCTGGTTTTCTTGAGAGAGGTTTCCCACTGAGAAAGAACCTCTCAGTAACCAAGTAACCAAGCCTTTACTTTTTCCTTCTCATTGGCAGATTACCTCCTATATTCCAGGGCCTTCTTCCTAATCTCTGTCCTCACCATACTCATTGGTCTTGGCTGGCTCTTAAGTTCTTGCCTCCCTAGAAGAGGAAGCATGACCACCAACTTGGATCTGAAGGTATCCATGCTCAGCTTCATCTCAGGTACAAACATAGAGTGGCAGGGTGATGTCAGGGTAAAATTGTCAAGGGAACAAAGTTTCTCTATGGGGTTTTCATCCTCTTTTTCTTGTCCCTTTCCTCTTTTTCAATATTACATCAAGTTGCCAGCTACCTGCCCTGTCTTATTGTATAAAGCACACTTTTGGTGACTTATGCCAGGAGAGAGGTAGAAGCCCTTTTTTCTCTCCCACTTGGTCAATCCCCAAATTTTGATCCTGCCATACAAATGGCATCTGGAAGCAGAAGAGTTGGGGGTGGTAGTCAAGGCAGACTGAAGACACTGATGGGTTGTGACATCTTTTCTTCTGGTCCTAGCCATCTGCTTGCTCTTCTGCCTCATCCTATTTCTGGCACAGGTTCACTGGCACACCAGGGATGCCATGGAGTCAGACCTCCTATGGGCCTATTATCTAAACTGGTGGAGTGACTTCTTATACATGTTTGCTGGTGAGTCAGTCCCCTGCCTTATCCCAGAAGGATGGAAGGGGAATACACTTATTGAAAGAGAGGTGGAATCTAGGAAAAATAGAAGCACTGATTCTTCCTATTTAGAGCATCTATGCATTGAGAAGCAGAATGATATGAAACTGAAAACTTAGAATTAGTAATCTGTCCTGCCACTAAATGAGCCATAGACAGGTTGAGTGACTTGCTATGACCACACAGAAAGTAGTCAAACTATGATTTGATTCCAGGAGATTCAAGCTTTGTCCTAACCATGTGAAAATACTATAATGGAATGGGAGCATAGGACTGTAAAGTAATTCTGCTGGGGGAGAGGAGGGTTGGCTTCACTCAAAAGAAGCCCTTTGAACTGAGCATTTTAAAGGATGAGTAAGTTTTAAAAGTCAAAAGACCATGTGTCTATTGTAACTCACCTCAAATTCTTCTCTTCCCCTAGGGATCATCTCCTTCCTCAACTACCTAACATTCAAATCTCCTCCCCTTGATCAAAATGTCACTGCGATTCCCACAGAGAGGTCAAGGCTGGGGATTGGTCCAGTGACTACAGTATCACCTGCTGAAGATGAAGAGTCAAGGTCTGAGATGGAATCTCCAAGTGATGAAGAGGAAAAACTATCAAATGCAGAACTACCAAGCACAGAACTACCAAACGCAGAAATGTGATAGTGATAGGAAAACGCAATTACTGCTTGTCTTAAAAATGGGGGAGAAGTTACTAAGTTGGAAATGATTGTGTAGACTCTAAAAAAACTCTCTTAATATCATGTCCATATTACTGAAGGAGACAGCATTAAAGCTGATGAAGTGTCCTTTGTATGCGTTAGACCCAAAATATGTATGATAATCAAAAGAAAGTAATGAAATCTCATTAAGAAAAAATTCTATAAGACAACATCACTGTTTAGGGTCATGAATGAAAGAAACTAGCAATAGATGCAGTGTGTGGATCAGAGATCTCTTTGGGCATCAGGGGTCTCATGGACCAAAGTGGTCAATGGAATAAAATGTCATCTAATTCTGTTTGAAAATCTCATTATTTGTGGCTGTGAGCATGAGTGGAGGTACTTGGACAATATTGTTGATTTGAATTGGAGATCATTACCAGAAATGGAATGAACACCAATGGAGATAACATCTATCACCCAAAGGTGTTGGGAGGTGCTAGGGGGGTTCTGGGGAGTCCATGAGGTCCCATTTCCTATAAGAATTGGTCATTTAAAACCCTTACAGCATACTATATGAACCCACTGCTTCTCCCTAGGCTGAGAGATACCTTCACCAGACATACACAAACTCCCTGAAATTCTATACAAAACTTGTGTTTGCACCTTTCTGTGAAAAAAGTCATAGCCTCTGTTAGATCCTTGACAAGCCTGTGACTCTTTTGATTCCTTAGTCATCAAATATGTTTCCTTAAGCCAAATGATGCTAAAAGTCTTAAGGTCTTCCTTCAGCCTAAGTACATATGTGGACCAAGTTGAAGGATTTTATCTTGTTTTATATATCCTGTAAGATTAAGGAAGTGGGGGCAGAGGGATTCCAGAAATCACATAGGTTTTTTTTAATTCTCACTGGAGAATATTCTTTTCATCGATTTGAGAGAAAGGAAGAAGAGAGAGAGAGAGAGAGAGAGAGAGAGAGAGAGAGAGAGAGAGAGAAACATTAATGTGAAAAACATCAATTAGTTACCTCCCATATTTGCCCCGACCAGGACTGACCCCGCAATCTAGGTATGTGTTTGATTGAGCCACCCGGCCAGGAAAATCACACAGATCTTTTTAAAAAATATATATTTTTTTATTGATTTTAGAGAGGAAGGGAGAGGGAGAGAGAGATAGAAACATAAATGATGAGAGAATCATTGATCGGCTTCTTCTTGCATACCCCACACTGGGGATCAAGCCCACAACCCAGGCAGGTGCCCTGACTGAGAATCGAACCGTGATCTCCTGGTTCATAGGTGGACACTCAGCCACTGAGCCATGCCAGCCAGGCCACATAGATCTTTTGATGGCTAAATATCTTTTTCAGAACCAGACCAGATTCCAGGCAGAATATTCCTTTATTATTTTTAGTAGCTACCACTACTACTCTATTGATTGAGGTCCATTCTTCTCATCCCCAAGCCTGGCAATGGAATGAACTACAGTGCCCAGCCTCTCCCCTTGCTGTTCTTAAAGATAAGCCCTTGGGTCTTTTTGGTTTAAATAAAGATTCACCAGTAACCTTTGTAGAAACAAACAAAATAGAAATGGAGTAATTACGTTGTTCTTATAATCCCAGTTCTTATAATCTGATCAGTAATTCTTAAACATTTCCAGATAGTAACTGGAAGCTCAATAGATTTGTTTCACTGAGCCAAATGAGCTTTAATTTTAAGGGTAGAAGTTTAGCAGCACATATTTGTGTGCACCCACATACAGAGACACACATACAAACACATATGCACATACCTCATTTTGACTCTGCTTTATAAAACCCTTCTCCCCATGTTGGCTCCTCCTCATAGTAGGTGATCTTAGTCAGGGCAGAATGACTGGTGCCTCCTTACTCCAAGTGGCCTCATTTCAGAGGCTCTTCAGTCTGTTCCTGGACCTTTGTCTGGTTGTAAGAATAAACATGTAATCAAGTCTAACTCCCCTTCCTCCCGTCACCACTCACACATGAAGTATACCCCGCATGTTACTAATTAAGGATTCATTGGGTTCACAAGCTTGCTTTATAATTCAAATTGCTTGGATACTTTAATTATATGACTAAATTGACAAGGAGCTGAGTACTGATTACTCTTCAGGGAAGGGAAGTTTTAAGTGGTGTGAGGAGAAGGAAGCAGGTCTGAAAGCAGAAGATGCTAGATAATAAAAAAGTAATGATAAAGACCCTGACTATTAGGGGAGAATAGGCAGTGATTATAACTAAGGTTCTACTTTGCTAACAGAGAATGGCCATATAAGCAGAGACAACCTTTCATTGCTCCTTTAAAAACTGAATGCTCTCTTTATTTTCTTCATTCTCTCTTTCTTTGCTTGTAGAAAATTCCTTTAGAAGCCTAAGTAGATTTTCAATAAGATAGCTCAGTAAATGACCCTTTGATACATCCCCTCTGCTCCAAACATATTGCATGATAGATGAAGGGGTGGGAAGAGAGATTATATTACATCAAGTCAAAACAAGACAAGCAGTTTCACTGACCAGAAAAATAACAAAAACTCAAGGCTACGATTCGAATTAAGCCATAGATTTAATAGGCTATAAGTCGAAAAGTAAGCAGAGATGAATAGCAAGACAACTCTTGTGTAGTGAAAAGGACTATCAGTGCTTCTCAAGACATGGACTAGAGCCAGGTTTACAGCTGTAGCTTAAGCTAAGGACTTATGAAAATAAATAAATAAAAACTACTGCCAAGCGTTGACTGGGGTTGTAGCTTATTTGGAACCACAGACCCAAAGCCAGTGATGGCGAACCTATGACACGCATGTCAGAGGTGACACGTGAACTCATTTTTTGGTTGATTTTTCTTTGTTAAATGGCATTTAAATATATAAAATAAATATCAAAAATATAAGTCTTTGTTTTACTATGGTTGAAAATATCAAAAAATTTCTGTATGTGACACGGCACCAGAGTTAAGTTAGGGTTTTTCAAAATGCTGACATGCCGAGCTCAAGAGGTTTGCCATCACTGCCCAAAGCAGTAAAAGGAGACAAACAGCCCATTTATTCATTAGCTGGGTCAGTGGCCTTCCCTGATAGCATAACAACAGGGAATCTGAAATGCCATATTATGAGACCTGACCCTGGACTAGGGCCTTTGGCCAAAGTAAGGAAACCGACAAACTACCGATGGAATGAGCAGAGAGGTAGAAAAGGAGGCAAAAAAAGGCAACAACAAAAAATGTTGTGCTTGCAAACAAGAATTCAAAACATGTAAAAAAATGTTCAGAAAAAAATTCAAAATCAACAATCAGAATATAAATTCATTTCAGATTGTCTGGTGTGTAATAGGATAAAGACTTTAAGTATTCCTAGGACACACAAAGAGATATGATGTAATTATGGATTACAAAAAAGGGCCAAACACTATGAAACAAATATAGATAGAAATAAAACAAGAACACATTTAAATGAAAAAGAACCAATTAGGAATCATGGGAATAAAAAATATAGCTATTGTCATAGGAAATATAGTCAATAATATTGTAGTAACTATGTATGGTGTCAAATGGATACTAGGCTTATTGTGGTGATCACTTCATAAGTTATATAAATGTTTAAACACTATGTTGTACACTTGAAATTACTATTATATTACATGTCAGCTGTAATTTAAGAATAAAATATATATATATATTTAAGAATATATAGCCATTGAGCCCTAGCTGGTTTGGCTAACTGGATAGAGCATCGGCCTGCGGACTGATGGGTCCCGGTTTGATTCCAGTCAAGGACACATGCTGGGTTGCAGGCTCAATTCCCAGTAAGGGGTGTGCAGAGGCAGCTCTATCTCTCTCTCCCTTCCTCTCTGAAATCAATAAAAATATATTTTAAAATATATGTAGGATGTTTCAATAAATTTCAAGACTATCAATCAGTCCATGCTTCCTGCCACAATGAAATTAAATTAGAATTCAATAAAAAGAAAATAATTTAAAACTTTATTATACTTTTGAAAACCTTAAAAATTTTCCCTAAAATTCATGGGTGAGAAGGAAACCACAATGGAATGAACAAATATTTAGATCTGAACAACAATGAAAGAATTACTACAATCAAAACCAATAGGAAGAATGACGTCAGAGGAATGGTGGCATAAGGGCAGGTCTTTTCCTCTCCCCCTGACATTTCAACAAGTTAACCATCTATAATTCAAAAAAGAAGTCCCTGCTCAACACAGATGCACACCTGAGAGACCAGCATACTGAAACAGCTAAGGTGGGCTTCCTGGGATAAGCTGGGAGACAAGAAGGGAAGGAAGCTAGGACATGCGTCTGCACAGCTGAGAACTCACAGCCCAGGTACGGAAAGGGGAGAAGGCCAGCTTCAGTAGCCGGGAGGAACAGAGAACTGTGCGGGGCAGTCCAGCAGATTGGCAGGGCAACCTGCGAGCTGCGAGCTGCGAGCTGCGAGCCGCCAGTGCAGGAGAGGACATTGTCTGAGTTGCGAGGTCCTGCAGGCAAGCAACCAGAGATTGCAGTGTCTGTATCGTGGGCACCCTGCGAATAGTGCCTGAGTAGTCAACAGACGCTTACCCTATAGAGCACTGGGTGCTGCCTAACAGCTCCCCACTGCTGGGCCTGGAGATAGTCTTTCAGACAAAGAAAGTAAGTCACTAGAGCCCTTCCGCTGATGAGACTCCCCAAACTCGCCTCCCATTGCGCTTAGAGTTGGCTCCACGAGTATATTATCTGTAAACCAAGAGTTGTTGCAGTAGAATCCCTGTTTCCCTCTGTGATTGAACCCCAGGAGGGGTGTTGGGGCTGAATTCCCGGAGATCAGGGATCTCCATTACAGTGAGGGAAAACAAACCCCATCCCTAAGCACCAGAGGCAGTACTGTCCTACGGAAGCCACCAAGGCTCAAAACTGTGAAACCAGAGGTAAAAATCTTGCGATTCAGCACCATCTACTGGAACAAAATAGAAAGACCTCTTTAGAAATAAATGGG